GTTGAAAAGATTATAATAGGGGACATCTAAAAACAACTGACCTGAGATGTTTATATTTAAGGGATTTACCCTCTGTAAAAGTATGCTATGGTTGTTAAGGAATTTATACTATTATTAACAAAAGAAGGAGAGGAGATGTTAACATTGCAGGTAGCAGTAAAAGTCTTAGAATTAATTAGCCTAATTCTCTATATGTCAATTCTCAGTGAGTCACTGTATATGCAATAACTGCAGAATGAACTGTACACGTGTACTGTCTATGGTTAAATATCAACCCTAAGATAATTATCCTTAATGCTTTTATCTTGCAATAATCATGCGTTATGGTGGGAATCTCGAGGCAAAGATTTAGCAGAGAAAAATTAGATACAAATAAACAATACTGTCTCAGAAATAACTTCCACATATGATAATACTGAATTCACAATAACATTTCTTGGAAAAGGTATGTTCTCCCAGATAATGGTTGCAGGTTTAAACATGTACAAAACTATTATGTCATGTTCAATAAAAGATCATGGTTTTAGTTCATATAAGTTTGGGATTTATAAGTGTAAAAGGCCTCAAAGACATATAATCCCATCCTGTCGCCCTTATTCATCCATCTCTTGTGTATCTCATGAATATTTGAATGATACTGTGAAATATTAAAAAAATGAGGACAATACATATTTCATTTGAAGGTCTTGCCAAATTCCTTTCTAAATGAAGGGAATTCATTAAGTAAACCAGCTGAAAGAATGGTTGGGGATGACGTTTCCTTCAATTATGCATTGAGTAAAAATGGGACACCAAAATGTTCTGAGCTAAAGCAAGAGTTCACTGTTGATTCAGATGGGCTGCGGATAATAAGTGAAGGATCTATTTCTATATTAATTTGGAGCTAATGACTTCATAAACTATGAGTTCTCTGAGAGCGCAGACCTCGACCAGGGCAATTGTGTGCAGCAGAAAAAAACCTCTGCAGTGACTCCATTTATATGATTCTGAATTTAAAGATTGGGCAGAGACAGTTCTCTCAGTTGTAGAGAATTGCAGATATGTACCTGTAAAAGTGCATACATGTGTATCCCCGAGTGTAATTGTGTCTAGCAGATTGAGCACCGTTGTAATTGTGTCCGTAGGCGTTGTTACTTCAAAGAATGTTCCGTACTTTCCTTTGTGTCGGCGCTGCTGATGCCCTGAGGCGAGAGTCTTAATTTTAGCTTACTTTCTTCGACTCAAATCAGATACCTGAATTTATTTGATTGCATCTAAAGCCAAATCAATTGAGAGGGCAGTGCCTTCATGAAAGAGAGCCATCATAAGTACCGCTGGTGCGAAGCCAATTTAAAGTCCTCATTTATGTGGGTACATTGATAAAGGTTTCATAGAGTATCCGCAGGGGCGGTTCCAGGGGGGGGCAGTGCCCCCCTACCACTGACTTTGGACCCCCCATTGGCCCCCCTGAAAATGAAAACAAAAATCATAAAAGTTTATGATAAAACGATTTCTTTGCTGACGGAATAGGCGGAACTAACGCTATTTGTCATTCTAGTTGGACCCATTAGAGCGTAACAACTGTAACTATAAGTATCTGAAATAAATAAGGGTACTGAAACAAATACCAATAACTGTATTGCATTGTTTTCTTATGCGCAATTACTTCATAATGTCTTTGTCTTTTTCGTCCTGCATTTATTGTGCCCCCCTCAGAAAATAACTGGCCCCAGCCTACCTCCCCAAGTCAAATTGATCTAGAACCGCCACTGATTATCCGTGTATGCACCTAACCAGGGATTTATGTATCTGTACTGAATCAGCAATGACTGAAGTTCAGAAGCATTAAATATCGCTATATTATCTCCGCTGCAGAAACTCTTTACCGGTTGCTGCCTGTTGTAACAGCTGTTTGTAAGTGCAAACTGGCCTTAGCCTTTAGCTTGTTGTAACTTACTTAAGCGGTTCGCACCAAGTACTGTCACAAGTTTGACACATTCATAGTTATTTCTGGTTTCGCATATTAATAACTCTCCTGTCATTTCAGATCATGCCTTCATCTCACCTCAGCTCATTCACCTTACCTTTTCTCCCCAGCCCCTCCCCCCACCTGCTACCCCCAGATTTCCTCATTAGCCCCAAAGTATATACTACCTCACTGTCACTTGTCCTCTGCTGGATTGTCTTGTGTTTTCGTTTTGTGTATTGTCCAAGCGCTCCACCGTTTCTGTTTGTATTTGCCAGTTATTGTTCTGCCCGGTTTTGACCCTGCCTACCTGATTTTGGACCTCGAGTTTCCTGCCTGCCCTTTTTATTGAATTTGTTTGCCTGACTGCTGGATTTCCTGATTTTGAACCTGCCTGTTCCTGACTTGAATAAACTGAACCTTTTGAACATTGGGTTAATCTGTGTCGTGCACTTGGGTTCAACTCCGTACCGTGAACGTACAATAATTGTTACGGGAAAATTAGCTGTTACTAGATATTTATGCTAAAGTGCAACCTCAGATTGACAATAGCTACCGCCATCGCTAGCAAGGTTATGTTTAGCCTTCAGTTTTACTAAAACACACTGTGGATGTGGCTGTTTTATGTGGAAGCTTTATTTTCAGTAGCCAAAATAAGCATTCCAATTAATATCACACTTATATTACAGATGCACCTTGCTAACCAACTAATGTTAGCTGGCTAATATGAAATGTTCAGTTTGGAGCTAACCTGACATATTAAAAAAAAAGTTGTTTTTACAAACAATATACCCCAAATAACAAAAAGTATTCTCGAGAAAAATGGACTCACAAATACCTAATGGACTAATACATGACCTTTTACAGGGTTGCTGTTCCAGATGTGTTCCTAGTAACTAATTAATGAACTAAAGGTCAGGTCAAAGGGAAAAAAAGGGAACAAGAGAACATTGTTATAATTGATCGAACAATCTGAGATATAAGTAATTTTTTCTTGGGAATTGCATTGCAAAAGTATACAGGTTGTTTCTAAACTTATATATTTAGATGATCCTTACTGGTATTTGAATGCAAGAAAGATTAAAAAGATCTCACAAACTGGATGATGCACAAGATATTCTTCATACCAAGTCTTCTCACATGGTGGGAGTGAATCATGGTCTCGGGGCTGTGCTACTGTATGTGTGAACCTCTAAGACTGTAAGCGGTTTTAAGCCGCAGCTACATAATCAGGTCAGACTGTCAGCCCTCCAGCAGTGTGAGCAACCCAGACTTCAGTGTGTGTTTGAGTAGAACACATACTGTGCAGGATACCATCTTGGTTTTGAAACCCAACAAACTATAGATTACTATCATTATTCAATATATAGTGAATCCAATACATAAAAGGATTAACCTGGCTTTAAAACATTTTTTAAGTACAACATTACTTTCAACATTACCTTGGTTGGTTATTGGCTAATGGTTGCATAACTCAAAACTAGGGCTGTCAACCGATTAAAATATTTAATCGCGATTAATCGCATGATTGTCCATAGTTAATCGCGATTAATCGCAAATTAATCTCACAATTTGTATCTGTTCTAAATGTTCCTGAGAGGGATATTATTATTATAATATGTGTTGTTCTCAGACTTCAGTTGTAAATCCTCGACCGCAGCAGCTGTTTCTTTCTTTTCTCTTCCCTTCTCTTTTCTTGACATGATCTGACAATAAACAAGTATTCTTTGCACCATTTAATGTTACTGCAGTGCATACTGCATTTCAACCAATAACAGCAATACATAATTGTTCATTCAGTTGAGTATTATAAGTCATTGCAGTGTTGAGGTGTAGGTGGCGGTACGCAGTAAGATACAGTGTGTGTTAGTGTGCTGTAGAACATAGTTGATATTGATTGTTTGAGAAATTATTCATGATGACTAAGGATTTTCCAAAAATGAAGTCCCCATTGGTTTGCTCTCTGAAACACAAAAACACAGAATTTTGGAAACATATAAGTGTTTCAATGTAGAAAGTGTACAGACCCAAAATGATTGACATATCGATAACCAGCTTTACATCGAAACCCAGCTAGAAATCCCTTAATGTAGTGCTTCTGAGAGGAATGCTGAATGAATGAAATGGCGCTCTTTTGTTGAACATACAGCAACAGGTGTGTGTGTGTGTGTGTGTATGTGTGTGTGTGTGTGTGTGTGTGTGTGTGTGTGTGTGTGTGTGTGTTAGGGGTTTCACAACTACCAATATTTACTAGTCGACACATTTTTCAAAATAGTAGTCGACTAGTCGACTAGTCGTTACGTCATAATNTCTACACTCTTCTTGTCATCTTTGTAAAACGATATCAGACTGGTAATTGACACAGCCATGACTTCTAGTTAAATTCAGTGTGGCTAAAATATGCAAGCACGCGAAAGTCAAATTCAGCTTTATTGTCAAAAATTCTACATGTGTTATACATCCAGAAATATCGAAATATCGTTTCCCACAGTGTGACATGTATACATAAAACAAAACAAAAAGGGCCTAGATAACCGGGGTATACAGTTTAAAATGTTAATATATTTAATTTAAAGTGTTCAAAGTGCAGTTTCAGTGCAAGTCAGTTGAAACGATCTTAAGTTGGCGTGACGTTGAAGTCGTGCGACCCTGCTGCTGTACTGGCTTGTAGTTCGTTTATAGCATAACGTTAGCATTTCGCTTTTGGCGACTTGATTTATGATTCAGAAATTATAAAAGTAGGGTTGACATGTGGAGATTATCCGGCTGAACAAAACGTGATCCCTCTCTTAAATGTGTGTCAACCACAGACCTTATTTCGAGCTATTTTCCAAAAATCCTATGGAGAATTTGCATTGGTTTTTCAAGAAGGAACCGGAAGAAGTTTACTTCCGGGTTTTAGGACGCGTTACTGCGGTTCTCTATAAGGTTATTAGTAACACATGTACTCTCATTACTCTGCCAGCTGTGAAAAGGCCTAATTAGCCAGGACATATACTTTAATATGATGGTTTAGAACAGTTATTGACAGTGTTTTTTGCAGCAGGTTGACTATGGATGATTCACAGGTTGGGACTTTGTATGGAAAGAGAGGTGGCACATGAGAAGGAGGAGGTTAGTATTTTAATGAACAATAAATTAGAAAGGTTTTATTAGTAGTTAAATGTGACAGCTGTAGATAAAAATAAATGACCTATTTTTTTAGCATTTTATCTTAGCTAACGTTAGCATAATGTTAGCTAAGATAATATAAGCCTCTTGAATTTTGTTAGCTAGCATTATCATTACTCAAACTATTTGCTAACAGCGAGACACTTTAACTACGCTAACGTTAATGGCTACTTTGCAAGTTTAGCTCGTTTTCTTGAATGAGCATTATTGTAATATTGTTACGTCAAGCACAGAATTATACATAATTGATTACACTATTGCAATAAGCTGCTTTGGTTTCTGACATTTTGCATCCTAGCTCACACTTAAATCAAACAGGGCCCCTTCTAATCTTTGAGCAACACTTGTGCGCTCCAAACTCTGCTAGCTATAAAAGAGCTCTTATAAACCAGGAAACACACATATAATTTAATATGTGTTCTCAAACAGTTATTGACAGTGTTCTTTTTTGTTGTTGTTGTAGCAGGTTGACTCTGGATGACTTGCAGGTTGGGAATTTGTACGGAGAAAGAGAGGCAGCATACAGGAGGAGGTTATTATTTGAATAGACAACAAATTAGAACGGATTTGTTAGTAGTTAAAGGGTAAATATTAGCTGTTAGCAACAATAAATGACCTCATATCATTTTATCTTAGCTAATAGTAACATGAAGTTAGCTTTAAAAACAGCCTCTGGAGTTTTTGGCAGCTAGTGTTTACATTTGTCTTTAAACCTGAAACTCATTAACAATGCTAACATTAATGGCTACCTTGCTAGATTAGCTAGTTAGCTCGGGTTAGCATTATTGTAAACTTCAAAGATTACGGCTATACCAATTGGCTGCTGGTTTCTGAGATTTGCATGCTCGCTTACACTTGATTATAGGGCCCTGTTACATTTTAAAGCAACACCTGTGTACTCTGCCAGCTGTGAAATAAGAAGAATTAGCCAGGACATAAGTCTACATTTTTTTTTTGTGTGGACTCAAATAGTTATTGAAAGTGTTTTTGTTTTTTTGCAGCAGGTTGGCTCTGGATTACTCACAGGTTGGGAATTCATACGGAGAAAAAGAGGAAGCATACGAGAGGGAGGAGGTTAGTATTTGTATTAACAATAAATGTGAATGGTTTTGAGTAGTTAAAGTGTAAATGTTACGGCTGTAGGTAAAAATAAATGACCTTCCAGCATTGTATCTTAACATGAAGTTGGCTTTACAAACAGCCACTTACATTTTGGTAGCTAGCATTATCATTACTATGTGCTACACATTAACTATGCTAACGGTAATGGCTACTTTGCTAGTTAGCATTATTGTAATCTTTGCTACTCTACCTAATTTTGCAGTGTTGCCATTGACCACGAAATTGAAGAAGAGACAGCTACAGTTACAGGTAGGGAACAACTCACTCCATTTCTGAGGCTGTCAGCTGATTAGAATGAATGAAATTACACTTTGTAAGTTTCTGTTTTATGTATGTTCACCACACAGTTTATGTTGTTCATCAATGTTATTAAGCTTAATAACAGATATATTACATTGAATTAGGTTTATGTGATGAAAAATGTACTTTTACGAAGTACAAACCGTGTCCTTAAATTAATTTGGCTGTAGACTATATTTAATTTTATCCTCGTAGGCAAATTAAGAGTCATTGATCTGACTTTTGCTGAGTCTCTATCTATTTCTCCACATGAATGACTTGACCTGATACTGTAAGAAATAAAATCAATGTTTATATGACGTAATTTAAAGCTGTTTATTCTGAAAACCGGAATTTGAATGCAATCTTTTCATTTAGAACTGTTTTTTAATTCTGAAAACCGGAAGTTCACACAACGACTTCCGGTTTTGCGAGTAAATATTGTAAGCTTCAAAGTAAGGTTAGCATTAGCATGTGGCTAAAGACTACGTTTTGAAACAGTGAATTTAAGGTGAAATTAAACGTAGTGTTGTACACTAAACACACAGTCTTTAACCCTCACTTATTGACACTGAAATACTTTTATTAGGGATTGTTTAAATAACCACAGACATTAGAATATTGTAAATTAACAACAGAAAAACGACAGGAAGAGGGAGACTACTACTGTTGATAACCCGTGATGGACAGAGGAAAACGATCTCTTTCACCCGGCTGACCCCATGCGAACGGGACAACGGGGGGAAGCAGACGCTTTTGCATTTGTGTCACCGTATCATTTGTTTATTTACATGCTGTTAACTTTTGAGAAAGCTTCCTTGGACTCTTTTCAGCTAATCCTGCTCTCAGGTCTAAATCACCTAACAATACCCTCACATTTGAGACCTATAACATTTAATTCAGTCTGAACAAAATACACTTTTAACAGTCCAGTCAAATAATAAAAAAACAAAACAACCTTTGTGATATATTAAAGCAGGAAGTAGAAATTAATGCTTATCTCCAGATTCCCCGAAATCTGAATTAAAATAATCCTTTGAATAACTTTAAGTGATGACAGCCTAATCTTGCCTATTATGTAAGAGGAAACCAGGACTTGTAGATTGATTTGCTGCCTATCAGATGGGGATCACCCAAGCTGTTGACGCACATTCCGCAAGCAAAACCTCTGCTTCAACGTTTGATAATATTCATTTTGCATGTTGTTCTAGCAGTAACAATGATGTGAATACTGTTTTTTATGGGATATGTTGAAAAGAAAAGGTCCATAAAATATCATCATGCAACACTGACGGATGCGCGTTCTGTTGTTGACTTTCAACACATTTGTATACAGGCCAACATGACACATTGATTCCCAGAGAACCTATCCTCTTTTTTTGGCAGAATTCTCTAAAATGAAAAAGTCCTTGGCAATTTGGCAGTATATGCAGTGTCCTGATGGTTCCTTTTTTTTCTCCACCAATGTTTCCACAGTAAACACATTGAATGCTTCTTGTGAGTCTTGTTAAGAAGATCTCTGAGTTGGCTGACCTGGTTTGTGGGCAGGGCCAACAAGAAAACAGCTGTCTTTCTCATTAGCCCTTCCCTAGTCTCTTGAACCCCCCTCTCTTTCTAAACACACACAGACACTTGCACACACCCTGTCTGATGGAAAGCCAATAACACAATGCTTTTAGCACCTTGTGAACATGGCAAATGGCTGTTTCCTGTCACACATATCAGGGTTAGTTGTGTGCACCCTGGCATCACCAAATGGTGTATGATAAACATGTTAATTTCTTAACAAATGTGCATGTTATCAGTCTATATTTTTTTACCCCAGCTGATGATGTAGTATAATGAGTGAAACAATTCCACAAAAGGGAGGAGGACTGGATGGATGGAAGGGCGGCTCTCGGTGTTCCATGTGCTCAATTTATGTAATGAACTTACTTTTATTAACCAACACCTTTTATATTGTTTATACATTAGTTATTTTGCCAGCTATCTTTTTTAATTCATAACATTAACAATGTGTTTTAAACTGCAGCAATGTGTCCGTATATACAGGACTGTCTCAGAAAATTAGAATATTGTGATAAAGTTCTTTATTTTCTGTAATGCAATTAAAAAAACAAAAATGTCATACATTCTGGATTCATTACAAATCAACTGAAATATTGCAAGCCTTTTATTATTTTAATATTGCTGATTATGGCATACAGCTTAAGAAAACTCAAAAATCCTATCTCAAAAAATTAGAATAGTTCCTCAGACCAAGTAAAAAAAAAAGATTTATAACAGCAAAACACAATCAAACATTTGAAAATGTCCATTAATGCACTCAGTACTTGGTTGGGAATCCTTTTGCACGGATTACTGCATCAATGCGGCGTGGCATGGAGGCAATCAGCCTGTGGCATTGCTGAGGTGTTATGGATGCCCAGGATGCTTCAATTAGCGGCCTTTAGCTCATTAGCATTGTTGGGTCTGGTGTCTTTCAGCTTCTTCTTCACAATACCCCACATATTCTCTATGGGGTTCAGGTCAGGGGAATTTGCAGGCCAATCGAGGACAGTAATGCCATGGTCAGTACACCAGTTACTGGTGGTTTTGGCACTGTGGGCAGGTGCCAGATCATGCTGGAAAATGAATTCCTCATCTCCATAGAGCTTTTCAGCAGACGGAAGCATGTAGTGCTCTAAAATCTCTTGGTACACAGCTGCATTTACTCTGGGCTTGATGAAACACAGTGGACCAACACCAGCAGCTGACATGGCTCCCCAAACCATCGCTGACTGTGGGAACTTCACACTGGATTTCAAGCAACTTGGATTTTGCTCCTCTCCAGCCTTTCTCCAGACTCTGGCGCCTTGACTTCCAAATGAAATACAAACTTGCTTCGTCTGAAAAGAGGACTTTGGACCACTGTGCAACTGTCCAGTGCATCTTTTCCTTAGCCCAAGTCAGACGCCTCTTCCGTTGTCTTGAGTTCAGAAGTGGCTTGACCATGGGAATACGGCTATTGTAGCCCATTTCCCGGACACGTCTGTGAACAGTGACTTTTGATACCTGGACTCCAGCTTCAGTCCACTGTCTTTGAAGCTCCCCCAAATTCTGGAAGCGACTCTTCTTCACAATGCTGTTAAGGCTGCGGTCATCTTTCTTGGTTGTGCAGCGTTTCCTGCCACATTTCCCCCTTCCAACAGACTTTTTGTGGATGTGCTTTGAAACTGCACACTGTGAACAGCTTGCTCTTTGAGAAATTTCTTTTTGTGTCTTACCCTCCTGATGGAGGGTGTCAATGACGGTCCTCTGGACAGCAGTCAGATCAGCAGTCTTCCCCATACTTGTGATTTAGTTTACTGAACCAAGCTGAGTGTTTTTCAAGGCTCAGGAAACCCTTGCAGGTGTTTCGAGTTAATTAGACGATTCAAGTGATTCGTTGAACACCCTACTAGTATACTTTTTCATGATATTCTAATATTTAGAGATAGGATATTTGAGTTTTCTTAAGCTGTATGCCATAATCAGCAATATTAAAATAATAAAAGGCTTGCAATATTTCAGTTGATTTGTAATGAATCCAGAATGTATGACATTTTTGTTTTTTTAATTGCATTACAGAAAATAAAGAACTTTATCACAATATTCTAATTTTCTGAGACAGTCCTGTAATGATTAGCGCTGGCTACTTTACTTTCATACTTTATGTAAGTTACTTAACACCCATTTGAACCCAAATTTGATATTTTCTTAACCTTACCAAGTTGATTGTTTGAATTGACAATGTTAACCACATGTTCAAACTGCGCTGAAATCTGTATCAGACAAGTTGGGAATGAAACATGTCCTGCTAAATGTCCTTAACCCTCCTATTGCCTTAGTTTTCCCCTCCTTACTTTGGTGTTTGCGGTCAAATTTGACCATTCCTGTTTTAACTGCTATTACATTAACACAAAAACCATTAATCATCACCAAATTTCATTTAACATCCTTTCAAACTGTAAATATTGTATCAGGCTACTGGTATACATGAAAAACTGCAGTAAATAAATATACAAAGAATCTGAACATGTATTGCGTGTGCCAGGTGTGATCCATGTGGGGGGATGGGCACATAAGAGCGGGAAATGTGTCAAATTGTTCTGTGTGTGTTTGTGTGTGTTTGTGAGTGCCAGGTGTGATTCACATGGGGGGATTGGGCATATAAGGCGGGGGCACATCTAGAGTATGTGTGTGTGGGTGTTTGTGTGTGTGTTTGATCTGATCCGGATGGTTACTAATTCCTTTTCTTTATGGCGGCCATTTTTGACCTGGAACACCATGGGTGTTACAAAGTTGACTAAATCATCCAAAATTCAATGAAAGTGGTGATCAGCAATTGTGTATGTTCAATTGTCTACTGTGAAGGATATCATAAAGCCTTAATGCAATCGAATGTAAAACTAAAAAGTCATGATTTCGACTCCACTTCAAGCGATAGAACTATTAACAAAGCACTTATATACTAATAAAGGACTGGCTTATCTAAAGCCAGTTGAGTAGCACTTGAAATGTTTTAGCTCTATGAAACCTGATGTACTTATATGATTCCGTTTTCTTCAAGTTTGTACTTTGTTGGTCGAACGCACTTATTGTAAGTCGCTTTGGATAAAAGCGTCAGCTAAATGCAATGTAATGATTGATGAAAGTAGTAAATCGGTCAGATTTGACCCAAAGACAACAGGAGGGTTAAAGGAGATCATGTTAGTGTGGTTAAGGTGAACATTCTTGGTGTCATCTCAGTTGAAATAAACCAGTTTGTTTCACTATAAATAACAGCTGAAAAACAAAGGTTTGAACAGTTACTACTGTACAATCTCGTTACTTGTGTTGGCTTTAAATGTGAAGCATTGGTAATATGTTCGTATCCAGGACTTCCTTACCATGATTCACCACGACTGAATGAGACAGAGAGAAACTGCTCTGGAGGGAATCCTTCCACTG